GATGCATGCGAAGATAATACATTTTTTTGTAATATTTTCTGCCTCCGTCCTACTTTCAAATTATTATTATTATTATTATTATTATTATTATTATTATTATTTAAAGGAACAGTAGGGGAAGTGAACTGCCTGAAAAGAGATAAAATCGCCAGACCCACCAGGACTCGAACCCGGGACCTTGCTTGTCATGAGCAATGCTCTAACCACTGAGCTATGGGACCGGGCTGAACCTAGAAGGCGCTGACAAGGTTTTCACTCCAAAGGCAGCTCACAACACGTGCCACACATACTGATGGCACTTGGGTCTTTCTCCCTCCCCCAGGGGACCAACCACGGTCAGTTTCTGGACCCTACCAGAAGTGAAAGAGAGTGATAAATTTTTGAAAGGATTGGGAGAACTTCAAATTCAAAGGAACAGTAGGAGTGGGAGTTGTTCGTTAAGCCCAGTCATAGTGGTGTCCATCTATCGTACGAGTCTTCATTGCCATTGGGGGTGAAGCGTTTGGTTGCCTAGGAGCAGTTTCGGCGCGCAAATAGCAACGCGTCAACCGACAGGGGGAGGGAGCGGGGAGAGAAGAAGATCGAGACATTACTACGAGACAACGACTACCCACAACACGCTATTCAAGCAGCCAAGCACCATGCAAGCACACCAAGACCATCATCCACCAGACAACGACAACAATCGTACACATCCATCATCAAACTGCCCTTCGTCAATGATCGTTTGGCACGTGATGTTCGTCGTACCTTGAGGTCTTTCAGTAAGGATGTGCGTGTGGTGTTCCAGTCCGGTCGGTCACTAAGGGACATGTTGGTATCGTCATCATTGTCCCGTCCTGAATGCCCGAAGGAAGTGTATAAGAAGAGAAGAGGGAGGGGGCGACCAGTTGAATGTCGTGCATGTGATGCTGGTATGGAGAGTGGTCAATGTTTGTCTCAGGATGTTATCTACTCGATGTTATGTGCACTTTGCGCCGAGGAGTACGTTGGCGAGGCCGAGCGAACTGCAAGGAAGAGATTTGAGGAGCATTGCGGAGAGGCCAAAGTGCAAGCGCTGGAGACGCCATGGGGAGAACACTATGCAGAACACCACCCACAACAAGCAATCACATCTACACCCATCACCAACGCATCAATTCTCGCCAAGCAGTCGTCCCTTGTGAATCGTCGTATACGTGAAGCAATGTTCATTCGTGATAAACGCCCAAGTGTTAACAGGGATCGTGGCTGGAGACTGCTGGACACAGTGTAAAATTATTGTGTTAGATGCTGGTGTTGTAAATTGTGGTAGACTGTGATGTTGCGAATATATTATGATAATAATTTGATATTTGATGTTTATGTGTGCTAGCTGGTTATATGGTTATATAGTGCTTAGCAAATAGTTGTCGTCATCTTTGTCTTCGCACCCATGGACCCAAATACATTGATGCTTTGCATTCTATTCTCCATGTCACTAACACATATTCACACTTACAGACACAGCTCTCCACTTGGCTCCTTCACTTTCTACCAGCACACTTCACCATTGCTGCTGGTAACCACACTTCTCGTGCTTTCCCTTCACATCGCACTAACACATATTCACACTTACAGACACAGCTCTCCACTGGTCTCTTTCGCTCCTTCCCTTTCTACCAACACACTTCACCATTGCTGCTACCCTTCACACATACAAAGATTTCCAGCACTACCGCACCACGCAGCATATATACTCGTTTCAGTTTTTGTTAGCTTTAGTTGAATGGTTTTCTTTTTCACCCTGAAGATGGGCCATGCCCGAAAATTTGGTGCATTCAATTTATATCTAACATTATTTGTTTTTTTGGAAGTGAAGTGAACATTTGCAGCGAAGAGACCGTAGTTGGAGAGTTTGAGGTGAGGTACCCTATAATGTGTGAATGGCTGCAATGGAGTCTGCGAGTGCTTAGAAAAGGTTTTCATTTTGTGCCTTTGTGTCTTTTGTATAAATAATAATAATCCCTAGTCATAACTCGTAACAGGTTGTCTTTCTCCTCTGAGACGCCAAATAGAGTAATACGAAATTCTTCCAGGAAGTGATGTACATCCTATCAAAATTATACTTTGTTCTCCCAGAGATTTGAGAGGTAATCAACTTGTTCACCTACCTGTCGGGCTGTTGAGCGCCACAACCAAATTACAAAAGCTGTAAGTCATGTTGTGCATGTACCGTAAAAAGGCGTTTTTGGCATAGTTCTGTTCTTTTGAGATGTGGCAAATGGGATTTCGGGATTTGGCATTTCGCTAATTGATCTCATGTACCCTCCCCCACCCTTTAGGACCTGAATCTGACGCCGCTTGTGGAAGACTTTTCCAGGTAGAACTCCGTGTTGGAAGCAAAGAGCTGAGATAGCGTCTTTAAAGTATCCCTGGGGCATTCCTTCAAGACAGGAGCGGAAACACCGTCGGGTCCAGTCGCCTTTGAGGAATTCAAGACGAGCTAGAAGCCTGTGGACTGCACTGGGAAAAAAGTGAACTGTCGTTAGTGCATGTGAACCAGTGAATGCTGTTTTCAGTAAGTCCATCATAGTAAATTCAACGTCTTGTACACTGCATTTGTTGGAAGAGAAACGTGGGAAAGCCTCCAAGTTCTGTTAACTTTTGGCCCTCTCGCAACCTTTAAGGTGGCTCTTTCCTAAATTTAAAACTAGTCCTTTGAGCATCCTTCTGCGCAGGTTTGGAGTAGAAATATTATGAAATATTATTATTTTTTGCCGCTCGCGGATTCGAACCTCCCCCGTATAAAATTTTTTCTTCTTCTTTTCCGGTAGTGGTTTTTGAAAAGAATAGCTTCTTTAATCAACTCAAAAGGTTTGTTCTTGTGGCAACAGAAACATGGAACTTGGCAGCCACTTTTTCATCAATCAAAGGAACATCTTTACCAAATTTAAAGGAAATCCATAGAGCAGTTTCAATTTACTTGATGGCAGTGATATGTAAATTTACCCCCAAATTGACAAATTGATAGTACTTGACAAAGTATGCTTCTGGTAGCTGCACGGGGCTATAACTTGGTAGACTCCTCCCATTACTATTTGACCCAAGCCAACCAAAAAGGTGGCTAAGGCATACTTTTTTGGAATTTTCTTTTTTCATGCCAAAGTGATATCTACCTGTCCAACTTCATGGAAATTTTGGGGCCCATCTGAAATGTATATGTGCCATAAATAAGTACGCTGCCGCTGCCGCTGCCGCTGCTCCTTTAAATAACGTCAGATCAATTAGTAAATCCAATGTCAAATCCAATACTACTACTACTGCTACTGCTACTGCTACTGCTACTGCTACTGCTACTGCTACTCCTACTGCTACTGCTACTGCTACCGCTACTGCTACTGGTGCTGCTGCTGCTGCTGCTGCTGCTACTGCTACTGCTACTGCTACTGCTAATGCTACTGCTGCTGCTGCTGCTGCTGCTGCTGCTGCACGACCACCACCACCACCACCACCACCACCACCACCACCACCACCACCACCACCACCACCACCACCACCACCACCACCAGCGTGTTGTCGATGTCGAGAGGGAGTCATTTACTCCGCTCGTATTTTCGACAAACGGCGTATGTGGCACGGAGTGCTCTCGTGCATTGAAGAACATTGTTCAGCTGGTGGGTAACAATCATAGTGACCTCCAGTACGCTGTTGTGATGGCACAGCTACGCTGCAAAATTGCATTTGTTTTACTGAGGTGGTCAATCACCTGCCTCCGTGGTTGCAGAGCGTCTTACTAGCGGAAGAGAATAGGACCATCTTTTCTCGACCGATGTCGCCTTCTGTCCATGTAACCGCCTTCGGTATTCATATGTTGGCCTATTTGACATTGGCATGCTCTGCGGATTTGTAGGCATGCTAGACAATTTAAATATTATCCTGCAAAGCAGGTGCGTGACTACTACGCAAAATAGAGTAATACGAAATTCTTCCAGAAAGTGATATACGTCCTATCAAAATTCTACTTTTTTCTCCCAGAGATTTGGATGATAATCCACTTGTTAACCTACCAGCCGGACTGTTTAATGCGACAACCAAATTGGAATACCTGTAAGTCATGGTGTGCATGTATCGTAAAAAGTCATTTTTGGTGTAGTTCTGTTCTTTTGAGATGTAGCAAATGGGATTTCGGGATCAGGCATCTCGTTGAATGATCTCATGTACCGTCCCCCACCCTTTATGACCTGAATCTGACGCTGGTCGTGAAAGACCTTTCCAGGTGGAACTCCGTGTTGGAAGCAAAGAGCTGAGATAGCGTCTTTACAAGTTCCCTGGCGCATTCCTTCAAGACAGGAGCGGAAACACCGTCGGGTCCAGTCTCCTTTGAGGAATTCAAGACGAGCTAGAAGCCTGTGGACTGCACTGGGACAAAAGTGAACTGTCGTTAGTGCATGTGAGCCAGTGAATGCTGTGTTCAGTAAGTCCATCGTAGTAAATTCGAGGCCTTGTACACTGCACTTGTTGTAAGAGAAACGTGAGAAAGCCTCCGAGTTCTCATAACTTGTGGCCCTTTCGCAACCTTTAAGGTGGCTCATTCCTAAATTTAAAACTAGTCCTTTGAGCATTCTTCTGCGCAGATTTGGGGTAGAGATATTATGAAATTATATTATTTTTTTGCCGCTCGCGGATTCGAACCTCCCCCGTAACTATAACCTGTAATTTACTCAATTTGCGTGCGGAACTGTTTCCTCCATTGTGGACTCGTACGCGTAGCACAGAGGCTGTATTTACAAGTGCAACAACTAGGCACAAAACGGACAGAGTACTGAGACATTCGACGTCCTGTCATCGAGCTTCAACACATCTCCGTAGCGTTCCAACTCGAAAGGTTCAAGGTTAAGGAGAGACCAAAGAGGGGAAGATAAGTGCGACGAAAATGAGCACACGCTACAGTCCTAACGGAACAAAGAGTGTCGTTTGTTACTGGACGATGACGAGACCAGTAGGATATTTGACAAAGCGGTCTAAATACAATTCGAAGCTGCAAAGCAGCACACCACTCAACTTGGGTGGCTGAGAAATATCAAAGATTAATACAGAAGGGGGATGCTTTGCGAAAACGAATTAGTGTCTATTTACAGTGGTGCAGAGTTACTCTTAACTCGTTTCCATATGTCCTTCGTCCTTTCTACATGTGAGCCCCGGCCAGCGAAAACCAGCACTTGTGTACTTGATATCAATCATCAAAATGTGACGTCAAAGTTTGGGACGCGCAGTGAGCTGGCTTTTGAAGATTCTTTTTCGATCGAGTGGGTGTCTTTGTTGTCAAAGGAGTTTCAAGTGTCTTCAAATGACTCTGGTCAATTGATTTTAGCGCTAGGTGAGAGCTCGTCACACGGAGGTTGAGTTTAGACACAGCGATGGCGACAGGTGTCGCGACAAAGACTTAGGTCCAGAGTTGTCAGCGTGAGACTCCCTGTACGAAGCGGCGCTGAAAGCTAGTTCGCGATCGGAATTATTTCTTTGGTGGCCATCTCGCTGAGTTTGTCCAGCAGTGGCGAGTCTAATATGCATAGCAAAGAAGAGCCCTCATAAAATCGACACTGAATACTGGTGGCGACGATAGTCAGTGCTGGAGTAATAGCGACTGCGAGGAGAAGCTGAATGTCGACCCGCTGAGCGATCCGTATTTCTACATCGACAACAATGATGTTGCAGACGCTGATGGAGGGCTTCTCATGGCGCAAAACAGAGACTGCAAGCGTAGTATTATCAGTACTCTACCTTGCCAGACGACGCCAAGCTGGCTGCTGCCTGTGCTGAGAAAGGGGATCCCTAAAAACTCAAACCAGCTGAACGCTTTGGGGCAACATCTTCACGTGCTACAAAACGCGAGTATTCGCTCATATCATTGAAATACAATTATGCTGAAATCATGGTCTGAGTGAAAGTGTGCAAGGGAGTGAATGTCAGTGGTATTGGTCAGTACATCTATCAGTATGGCAAGCTTTGGGACAACACTCAAACTGCCAGCACAGAGGTCCCTGAACACAATTTGGAAGGCCAGCCACCAATCATCGTTTTGCACCCTGGTGTTGTAAGGAAGGTACAGTAAGATCGGGCGCCGAAGAACGCAGGGGCTCGAGCGCAGCCTAGGAAAGTTCTTAAATTTTTGATTCTAGCCAGACCGTTCTTATTCACACGCGCGCGGCGAGTCGAGTGACGTTATGACGTTTGTCATGTACATGTAGTGCAATGTAGTACTTCTAAACTAGTGGGTGTCGTAAATGGGAATGACTGTACATGTAGCAGTTACTGTTTACACGTGTACATGACATGTACTCACCTCCCATACATGTACAATGTACTGTAGATCTACGTGTAAATTGGCAACTTCGTGTAAGTACATAATTATAGTCGTAACTCAGTTAAATACTGCACTCATGTGGAAATTCCAAATTTTAAAAGTGTTCTTAAATCTGATAATTCTAGCCTGGACTGTTCTTAAATTTTGCCGGTTTTCCAGCCTGGGTGTTCTTCGGCGAGGTGTTTTTCGGCGCCCGATCTTACTGTAGTGATGTATACGGAATATCGTCACACTTCTGAACTACTCATGCCTGCACTACCAAGAGGGCAAGCCTGACTTGCATTCTATTTACTTACATGTACCTGTTCCGCATCACAATCAGAAACTGTAGGATCAACTTGCATGGAGTCACTAGGCATGGATGCTGCGCCAACTGCACCGAATCTTGACCTGTGTGACTTCAAACTCTATTTTCCATGCTTTCGCTTATCAGATTGTCACCAAACTTGATAACTTGAATGATTAATAGTGTAGAAACAATTTCGAGGGAAAAAATAATTTTTGAAAAAATTACACATGTTCAGGTTTCTGCTGGCTGGGGCTCATGTATTATTGGCGCAATACCCGAGTTTCAAATTGCACACCTGATGAGCTGCCATGAACCCTACGGCGAAACGTACGTCGTGTGAAACAACTTGTTCTGTAGTCAACTAGTGCATCACAATGTCATGCATTAGGAGTACTGTAGAAGTTTGGCGTTCGCCTTGTACAATTTGTTTTCGCAAAGCTTCCCCTCTACGCTGTTTGTTGATTTCCACGGGCATCAGACTGGGTGGATTATCGAAGTCTCGCTCTCTTGTGTACACAGCCCTGGGCCAGAAGAGCTTGTTGATGAGAAACATTTTGTCTGCTGCACTGGCAAAAATACCCACAGTGGAGGATTAACAAAAATATTTATTTATGTCAAACACTTGGACGTTGTGGTCAGCCTCACCTGCTCTTGCTGCGATGAACTCCTTCAGCTGGTCTGCATTAATTGCATGCATCAAGCAACAAACAGGACTTTCTTCTTCGCAGTGGGTTTGGTGGAGGTGATGAGTCGCCATGTGGCTCTAGCGATCTGGGCTGAGCAGCAGGCACGTTCACGATTTGATCGGCTATAAGAAAACCCCAGTAAGCATGCAAAATATCAAGGCAATGGATATACGAGCAGAATGAGAGCGACATTTACTCGAATATGCATTTCTCTATGTTGCATTGTTCAGGTAAACAATACTATCGAGTAGGTCGAGGCTGGTGTTACAGTGGAGACAAAAGCGGGGATTGGCGCTCAACCCACACTAGGCCCTGACGAACTTCAGCACATCCAGCAGTTTGTTGAAAACAACCGCTATTCCAGCAAGCATAAACCAGCGGCCGATTTGGCTAATGTTGGTCCAGCAGGCGAATCAGTAGGTGCTAGGCAGGTGAGACGGCGCCTATCAGAAGCCCATCGCTTTGGGCGTCCGCATAGGAAAGTCGTCCTCTAAGAGGCACACCAGCCCCACCGTCTTGCGTTGGCTGTCGTCCACCAAGGCCACGCCTTCGACAGGACAGTATCCGCCGACGAAGCATGTTTTGCTGCCGGCCCCGACGGTCGGATCATGTTCTAGTTTCCTCGCGATTCTGTGCCTGCTGCTGAGCAGTCACAGCATCCGGCGAGGGTGCAGGTCCTCGCCACTGTGTCTGTGTCACCTAACGCGCAGCAGCACATCCTCGACAACGGCATGCCGATCATTGCGTTTCAACCTGCTCGTTCACCAGACCTAAACCCGATCGAGAACATTTAGAGCTTGCTGAAACGACGACTGGTAGCACACAACTGCCAAACTGCGAATGAGCTGCGAAATGCCGTGGATCTGGATTGGGGAGCGCTGCAGCCTGCCGATGTGGCGAGTTTCGCAACATCCATGCCAAACCGTCTGCAGGAAGTCATCACAAATAATGGTGGTCACACCAGATACTAGCCTAGCTTCCCAGCTACTGCAAATAAAACAATCATAACACAACTGTGTCTTGCCCTCTCTCTTTTTCTTCTGCTGGGTGTACTGTGTGTTTTCTTGCAATGGTTCAAAGTTCACTAGTACCGGGTACGGGTATAGTCACTTCTAGCAATATGCATTGACACGTGCCAAAATTCACGCCAAATCCGTAGTTCGCGTTCACAATCCAAAAATGGACCAGCGGCGCTGTGCTGCAGCGCAGAAATGAATGTGTGCACGGTGTACGTACTCTCGTCTTGTGGCCAGCGCCCATGGGTCGCTTTAACACCGACCAGATTTTTCATGTCCAGGAAAGCAGCACGCTTAAGAGTATTAAACCTTTAAGGACTACCCAAAACCGCCTGGATTCCTACCATTTTCAGGCGCAAAATCGGTATTTTCAAAAATTGCTAAAGTTTTCAGTTTTCTAGTATGCTCGACAAAGTAACAAGTTCGTTTCAAATTCCTAATAATTTCTCGATCGGCGCATTCTCTGAGTATACTCAAATGTGGCCGGTTCTCCAAGGGACCGACGTGGATCTAATGCGACATGTCTCACCTTGATGAAGAATCAGATCGTACTCGTCTGAGCAACATATGAGCGACTTCAAGCACCTAAAAATATATCGAAGTAGCGGTGAGGCATCCTGCAGCTTCATAACTCAAAGAGAACTGGCGAGCACTCATGCTCATTCCCTGGGCACTGCAAATTCACAACTCATTTCATTTCACAGAATCATTTTCAACGTTTCAGCAAATTGCCATCATCAGGATGCAATATGAAGTCGAAGTCTGGCAAGGAGCAGTCATATACAATAATTTGGTGTTCTTAGGTGTTGATAATATTTCTATGACCAAAATATTCAGCCTCATCTTCTCTCAGGCTAGGAGAGATTTCAGCGCTTCGTTGACGGTGAAACGTTTATGGTAGCTCACGGTGAGTAGCTACGCCAACCCAATGACCCAGGGGAAAGCGAAGGGAGGAAGGCCGTTGCGCTGAAAGCAAGTTCATTTACCTTTCACACTCGCGCATGCTGCGCATGCAGCGGAGGTTGCGCTCTCGATAGATCGATTTTTGATCGCCAATGTGTGGTATGTGGGTCGATTTAGACAGGGTTTTCTTCTACAGGAGCTCTAGGATGTTGACTCTCCTATCGACATAGTGAATTTGCTCCAAAGAAATCACGGATCACACACATAACCACAGAAAAACGCACAGTTTCAAGTTCGATCCGAACGTGACAGCCGGAAATCAGCTGATTCACTTGAAGTGCAATTTTCTCAAAATCACGTGCAGCGGGATAACGTCCGTTTTCGCTTGCGCTGGCTCAAATCATTTCACCTAAATACGAATCGTTATCAAAGTCTATGTTCCTTTTTAGAACTTCTGTACTTTAGAACTGTCTACCACCAAAGATAACCCCTACAGACTCCCTGCAGGAATTTAAGAAGAAATTACGTCATGAGCATGCCCATAAAACCACTGGCATTCCCACACCTCACAGTAATTGCACGTCACACTTTCCTTTGAAGTTTTATTGTCTCATTCCATGTGCCTGGCTAATTTATTCTCCCCCCCCCCCCCCCCCCCCGGTTATGCTACCTATTCAATATCGCACCAGTGGAGAACCCCTCAAATGGCTACCTGCCTCTGGGTCATCCCTCAAATATATATAATAATAATAATAATAAAAATCTTATCCAAGTTCTACTTTGTTCTCCCAGATATTTGAGCCGTACTCAATTGGATTACCTACCTGCATGGCTGTTCGACGCCACACCCAGAATAAAGGTCATGTAAGTCGTGGTGTGCATGTTTTGGAAAAAAAAACATTTTTTCCGTAGTTCTGTCTTTTGAGATGTGTCCAATGGGATTTTGGGATTTGTCCTCTCGTTGATTGATCTGATATACCCTCCTCAACCCTTTACGACTCGAATCTGACCCCGTTCGTGGAAGACTTTTCCAGGTGGAATTCCGTGGCTGGATTCTTTGTTGGAAGGAAAGAGCTGAGATAGTGTCTTTACAAGTTCCCTGGCGCATTCCTTTAAGACAGGAGCGGAAATGCCGTCGGGTCCAGTCGCCTTTGAGTCATCAAGACGAGGTAGAAGCTGGTGGACTGCATTGGGACGAAAGTGAACTGTCTTTAGTGAAGGTGCGCAAGTGAACGCTGTGTCCAGTAAGTCCATCGTAGTAAGATTGAGGCATTGTACACTGCATTTGTTGGAAGAGAAACGTGGGAAAGCCTCCGATTTCTCATAACTTGTGGCCCTCTCGCAACCTTTATTAACATCTGTCAACGCGTAAATAAGAGATCGCACTGAAGCAATATCAGGTGTCGGGGGGCGGGGGGCAGAACAAGAGCAGAAGTAAAGCGATCTCGCAGAAGAAGACTAGCAAGTCCATGCAGGCAGCGGTAAACACATAGCTGGGTTTTTAAGTTGAGGTGTTTCCAAAGGGTGTACAAGTTAGTATGACTGAATAGAAGAATGGTGGGGTAATTCTATCCAACGAAAATATGCTTTCCTACCCTCTTGGTACATGTCGGAACCTGAGCCTTTCAAGTTGGAAGTGTGTTGGCTTGTGCCTTGGAGAAGTGTTCGAGCTAGTTTTAGGTTGCTGAATGTCTCAGTACTCCTTGTGAGTTTTGTGCCATTGTGTCGCTCTCGCTGCCTTCATGTGATCTGGTTACGTTGGTGGACTCTTTATCATAACTCTTAACATGTTGTCCTCTTCTCTTTTACCATAAATAATAAATTGACTCACTATCCGAGTCCTCGAAGTAAACATATTTAAAATCATAACTTATTGTTTTACACTCGGATACTGAGCCAGTAATAAATGTAAAAAAGAGAAGAAACACATGAGAACGAGTTATGCAGCAACTTTCCACGACTGTAACAAAATTGTAAACGGTCAGAAAATGCGATAATAGGGCACAAAACTAACAGGCTACTGAGACATTCAGCGACCCGAAAACCTAGCTCTAACACATCTCCAGTGCGCAAACCAACAGCCTTCAAACTTTGAAGGTTCATGGTTATAAAGGACCGAAGAGGGGAAGGTGAGCGCAGCGAAAATGTGCACAAGCTAAGTCCCGCGGCAAGAAAGTATGCTGACTGTTACAGGACGATGACGAGACCAGATGACCACACCCAACTTGGGTGTGTCAGCAATATCAGAGATAAAGGAAGGGTGAAAACGAATTGTACAAAACCGGACGCCAATATCTAACGATATTGCTGATATATTGCTGATATTGCTGACCCACCCAATTTGGGTGGTATGTTGCTTTGCTGCTTCGAATTGTAGTCCAACCGCATTATCATGACCTAATAACTGGTCTCATCATCGTCCTGTAACAGTCGGCATTCTTTGTTGCCGCTGGGCTTAACTTGTGCACATTTTCGCTGTGCTTACCTTCCCTCTTCGGTCCTATGTGCCCATGAACCTTCCAAGTCGGAAGGCTGTCGGTTTGCGCACTGGAGATGTGTTGAAACTACGCCTCTTTTCACTGAATGTCTCAGTAGCCTGTCAGTATTGTGCCCTATTGTCGCACTTTCTGACCTTTTACCATCCATTTACAATCGTGGAAAGTTGCTGCATAACTCGTTCTCATGCGTTTAATTCTCTTTTTTACATTTATTATTTTACTGCTATACAAAATTCACTAATTTGAGGGAAAGACACAACCGGGGACAGTGAAAAATTGACTGTCACCACCCGGACTCAAACCAGGGATCCTTGCTTTTAGCCAGCGATGCTTTAACCAATGAGCTATGGTGGAGTCGTCATCCCGGCAGAGACCGTTCAATATTTTCTTTAGACTTCGTGCCTTACACTTTGTGTGAATCTACACCTGTGGTTGGGACGCAGACCTCACTGTTACCCACACGCTTCACGTACAATGAAAATAAATATTAGAGAGGTTCCGCATAACGTAATTACGTTAGTAAAAAACGTAGTCGATCTACGGAAAGTCTTACGTAAACTGCATGCGCATCTGTGTTCCGCCATACGGAGTTTTCAAATCACGTAGCTGCCCTTGGCAACTCCGAACGCGGCAGTGTACGACCAGATCGACCTGGGGAGAGAGTCATAAATTTGTACCTCAATCCACTTACCGACCAGCTGCGTTATCAGAGCCCTATCTACGTACTCTACGTAGACAACTTTCCGTAAGTAGAGTGCAAACTCGCGAATTCACGGGTTTTCCCCGCCCACTAACGTAAAGTTGCTCAACTTTACGTAGTGCGGAACCTCTCTATTATCCAAGTCATGGCGTGCATGTATCGGAAAAGAGATTTTTTGCGTAGTTGTGTTATTTTGAGATGTGGCCAATGTATATAGCACAGTATAAAGAGTATTTTCCAGGAAGTTATATTCATCCTATCAAATATCTACTTTGTTCTCCCAGATATTTCTGGGGTAATAAATTTGATCACCTACATGCCGGGCTGTTCAACGCGACAACCGAATTAGAATCCCTGTAAGTCATGTTGTGCATGTATCGTAAAAAGGCGGTTTTTTGGGCGTAACGATAGTTCTGTTCTTTTAGGAAGTGGCGAATGGGATTTCGTTCTGTGGCATCTAGGCATATGCAGATAATGCCGGCAGAAAAATAGGCAGAAATCGGTACCATTTCTGGTAAGTTTCATTTGTGTTTGGTATGTGGATAAAGAAATGGAGCAGAATTTGAGGAATTGCCCGCCATAAGGTTTGTGTGGGTCTGCCAATTTCACTGCTTTTCGAGCAGAATCTGTCACCTTTTCCAGCATTATCCGCCAATGCCTGGTGGCATCTTGTAGGTTGATCTGAGGTACCCTTCCCAACCCTTTATGACCGGTATCTGATGCCGATCACGGGGTGGTCGCAACGACCGTAAGCGCAAAAGTGGTTCTTCATCCACCCTGTACCGAAACCCGTGCAGAACCAAGAGCAGCCTTGTATAAGATGCAGTTGTATGTAGGCAGCTACGAATGACCATCCGTCTGCTAAGGAAGAACATGGCCACTCGAGGTAGCCACGAGCGGCTTCTTTGCAAAAGGCATGTTGTGGGTGGCCAAAGTTGTTGCTTGCCACAAATCTGGTTTCTCAGCTGAATAAGCCGGTTGTGATTACCAACACCATGGCAGATCTTTGAACATATAACCCTTTGCTGTACCCACCAGATTATTTGTATATTAGATTTTTATTTCTTTTACTCTTCATTCCTTAACCGCAATCAATAAGAGAAGCTGAATCGACATTTTTTTGTCTACTTTATGTTTGCAATGTAAAACGGTGGAGACAATGTGCAATAGAAGTGTTGGGTTCATGGATTCTTGTCTATCCTTCTTTCTTCTTTCTTCTCTTTTTCTATATTCCTTTCTTTCTTTTTTCTTGCCGTGGTTGGCTATCAACCCTCTCTCGCATGTTGTGTGCCAATTGGTCATGAACCACGAGTTGAGTAAAATAAATAAATAAAATAAATAAATGCATAATTCATTTGGCTTGGCTAGCCGATTGCGCGTCCATGTTTGCCATAGCTACCCAGGCCCTATATATTGCGTTGCCTCTCTTCAAATCTCTCTCTCAGCTCTCTTCGCTAAATAATCGCTCTCTTGAGTCGAGCTCTTCAATAAGCACCATGTAGTCGTTTCGTTCGTCTTGGTCTCTTGTCCCGTTTCTAATAAAGGTCGTTACCAACCTCTCCCTCTCTCTCTCTCTCACTCTCATTTTTTTATTATACCTTGTTTAGTTCTCTTATTTAGTTCTCTTGCTCCCCAACCATCCCCACTCTCTCCCTAACTTTTCTCTCTTTCTCTCTCTTTCTGTAATAGTTTTACCTTGACACTTCTTGCTTGTCTTATGGTTACACCTTGTGTTCCTACTATTCTCACTCCTGCGGTTCTCGCCTTTCTTTTGCTTTATAACCTCTGGTTTGAACATCATTCGGGGAATTCTCCAATCAATCAAGTCTATACTGTTACACTGGTAGCTTGAGGATGGTTGAGATCATCGTTTGCCCTTTGAAGTGCCTTGTGCTCCTGGCCGCTAGTGCTCTGCTATACGCCGCTTTCCGTGAGATCCGCCGGGCTCGGGACAACGTGGTTGCTACAGTTGGACGACATCAATTACCTGCTACATCAAGCTCAAGTCCTCCGGATCTAACCACCACGTCGATCGCGTTCTCTCTCCCAGACAAGCCCGAGCGTCAAACGCGTTACCAGAGAACCGAATGTTTTCCATGGCAACCCTTCCAAGTTCAAAGAGTAGGTATTTACGGTCGAGTTAGCCTTGAAGTGCTCACCTCAAGGTGACCCGGAGAGCCAAGTTAACTTTGCGGCTAGCTACCTCGCTGGGAATGCGCGTCTTTGGCTAATTTCTTCCATGGAAGCAGGTGAGCAATTTTCGGATTGGCATTCTTTGAAAAGCGCCCTAGCGCGAATGTATGGCCCGCACTATGACGGGGAAAGAGTGCGGTTGGATATGTTCTCTATCCAACAGCGTGGGTCAATTGAATCGTACGTAACGGAGTTTTCTCGGCTAAGTTTACAGGTGCCGGAACTTGACGAACTCTCCAGAGCCTTGCTATTTGTCAACGGCCTGCTCGCTCCTGCGTGTAGAAGTCAAAATCAACGGTCGTCGTGCGCTTATGTTAATAGATTCGGGCTCGACCCATGATTTCATTGCCGAACAGTTTGCCAGGAGAGTTAACCTGCCAACCGAAATTGGCTCGGAAAACCTGAATGTCACGCTGGCTGATGGAGCATCAAGCTCGTTTCCCATGGAGACGACCAATGAATTGAAGGTTATCGTAGGCGACTTCAGCGATAACCAAACCTTCACGGTGTTCCCCCTTCATCGCTATGACGCTATATTGGGGAAACCTTGGTTAACGTGTAACAATCCAGACATAAACTTCCGGACGAATGAAATCAGGTTGAACTCGAATGGTTTGCCTTGGGCGTCGCCCAGTCAAAGGGAACCGACCGCTCCTGTGGAGGCGATGTTCATATCTGGTCGTCAGGCTAGGCTTGCTCTTAGGAGTGGAGACGAAGGTGTTCTGGCGTGGGTCAGCGTAGAAGACGGCATTGGCAAGGAACCTCCCGACAAATCCACTCAGAACGAGCACCCAGATCTCAAGGCCATGTTCCGTGACTATGGCGATCTTTTCCCGGATGATCTGCCAGCTAGACTCCCATCAGAGAGGTCTGTAGACCACGAAATCCGCCTGGAGGAAGGCTCATCACCCCCATCGTGACCTGCCTATCGCCTGCCCAGGCCAGAAATGGAGGAATTGAAGAAACAGCTCACAGAACTCTTGAAAAAGGGTTTCGTAGAACCAAGTAAGTCCCCCTTTGGTGCACCGGTGTTTTTTGTCAAGAAAGCTGATGGTTCGTTACGCATGGTCTGCGATTGGAGGGAGCTAAACAAGATAACTGTTAAGAACAAGGCGTGCTTGCCCAATGTGGATGATTTATTCGATACCGTACAGGGCGCTAGGTACTTCACGAAACTAGACCTCCGATCAGGGTATAATCAGATTCGCATTCAAGCTGAGGACGCGCCCAAAACCGCGATTAACACTACCTTTGGGCATAACCAATTTAGGGTCATGGGATTTGGTCTCACCAATGCACCGGCAACATTTCAATCCATTATGAATATGATTCTTCAACCATATCTGAGGGAGTTCGTAGTCGTGTTCCTAGATGACATACTCATCTTCAGCAGAACGTGGTCGGAGCATATGCAGCATGTCCGGTCGGTATTGAGCGTGCTCCGGGACAACCGGTTATTTTGCAAACGGTCAAAATGTAAATTTGGTGTGGAGAGTGTGCGGTTCCTCGGACATTGCATCGATGGACTGCACATCACCCCTGACCCAGACAAGATTGCCGCAGTAAAGGTCTGGCCCGCTCCGACTTCCGTCACAGAGGTGAGGCAATTTCTTGGATTTACGAATTATTTTAGGCGATTCATAGATCAATACTCATCGCTCTCTATGAACTTAGAGGAGATAACGGGAAAACATGCACGATTCGAGTGGAACAGCTCTCAGCAGCATGCCTTTGAATCGCTAAAGCATGCCTTGTTGAATGCGCCCCTATTGCGGCTGGCTGATGTGAACCGACCATTCAGTGTGGTAACAGATGCAAGCGATTTTGCCTTGGGATGTGTTCTTCTCCAAGAACTAGAGGAAGATGCCTGGCATCCAGTGGCTTATGCTAGCCGAAAATTGTCTGCTGCTGAACAGAATTATACAGCTACAGAAAGAGAAACATTGGCCGTAGTGTTTGCGCTAAAGACCTGGCGCATCTACCTCTATCAACACTTTGAGGTCATTACAGACAACATGGCGGTAGTTTATCTGAAAACAAAACCAAGCATTACAAAGAAAGAGGCGCGATGGGTTGAATTCCTAGCTGACTTTGACTACACAGTCCGTCACAGACCCGGCAGAGAGAACCCTGCAGATCCCCTTTCGCGTCGCCCAGATCTCCATGAGAGTAACCTCGTGGAGAATGCAGTACCACGTTTGAATGCTATTGAGTATGCTTTAGCAATGAATGATGACGTGTCCAATACAATATCAGATGCCTACCAGAGAGACAAAGAGCTAACTCCCATCATAGAAAGATTGAAGCATTCTCTCCGAGATAATTTGCATGATCGCTATTATTGGGACGAATCCACTGATCGCTTGTACCTCAAGGCATCCCCCAATAACCGGTTGTGCATACCACAGTGCGGTGTCCGGTTAAAGCTCATTCAAGAACACCATGAGTGTGCAACGGCTGGCCACCCGGGTCGTGATCGAACGTACTTCCGCCTAGCACGTTTTTTCTACTGGCCCCGAATTGGTCTCGATATCAAGAGATTTGTCAAAACCTGTGATCTCTGCCAGCGAACGAAGGGAGGTCAGCCACGAACAGGGCTTCTCCAGTCACTTCCAATACCTAATAGTCCTTGGCAGGATATCTCAATGGATTTTATTGTTGGATTGCCCCTTACTTCTTGTGGCTTCGACGCAATTTACACCTTTGTGGACCGACTTACGAAATGCGTACATCTTGTTCCAACAAACTCGAACACTTTAGATTTCATTTGAGCTTTTTAAGAGTTTTCTTCGGGATATTGCTCTGGCAGCTCCTCAAATTTTACTCATAGATTTCTCAGGCATTCGAAACAAACGTTCAATTTCGGACATTTTCGCGCGAAGGGCAGCGCTCAACTGTACATTCAAAACGTGTTTCGTCTGCACGGGCTGAGCTCGACCATTGTTTCCGATCGCGATCCACGATTCACTGCAGCTTTTTTCAAAGAAGTATTCTCTCAGCTAGGAACTAAATTGGCATTCAGCACTGCTAACCACCCTCAAACGGATGGTTTGACAGAGAGAGTTAACCGGCAAGTGGGAGATGTTCTAAGAGCATTTGTGAACTTGAGACAGGCCAATTGGGATTCGCTTCTACAACTCTGCGAGTTTGCAATAAATAGTTC